TCTGGACTGTCTATATCCTTGAAAAAAAACACCTAAAGTAAATGCCCTAAGGCAGTAAATATCAGTTTCCGTGGCCTCTTGACAAAAGATAAAAACAGTATTAAGAAAAATTCATAAGAAGTTCTCAGGCTGAAGAATGATTTGTGGCTTGCATGTTTGGCCCACAGGAGCTGGTTCTAGGGAAGAGAACAGCAACCATTTAACTCTATGCCTCACCCCACCCCTCTCCGTACAAATGTCATCTCTCTTTCAAGACCTACTTCAGAGTTCAGAGGTCCACCTCTTCCATAAAGCCTCCTCGACCTGAACGTCTCCCCCTCGGGGTTTCCTGGGAGTGAGCTCCCAGCACTCTCTGAGCCTCTCCTGGGAGGTTTTACTTTTTCTGTTTTTACATCGTATTTACACGTCTTTTATCTCCACTATATTAGACTCCAATTTCCTTGAAGGTAGGAATCAAGCTTCATCATCTTTACTTCTTCAACACTAAAAAAAGCACCTAATTACAGAAGCCTTGCAGTATTTGTTGAATAATGGTCCAAATTAACTGTTACTGACTAATTAAAAAGAATTACAGTACTGCTTTCAAAGCACTAACATATACGTCACATTTCCGAAAGATTTCAACCCACATTCCCACAAAACATTTACAACACTCTGACACTTAAAGGGCACACACTATTCGAAATCACAGCATACCACAACTCACTTCCCAAGGAGTCTAGTTCAGGTTTTTCACTATACTCACAGTTCAAAGACACATATCGACTTTCACTAATGTTAAAAAGATGCTCATTTTAAGTCTGGCAGAGGGGGAAACAGCAAACTTTTTGACTCTTTTTAAAAGATGAACAAATACCTCTTCAGTTTCAGGAGCAACCTGGGCATCAGTAATCTCATCTAATTCATCTTCAGCCACACAGTCTTCCTGCTCTCGCAGCCCTTGCTGCCCACCATAAGCCTGCAAGTATTCTTCATCCTAACAGCCATTAAAGAGAAAACAAGTTTTTCTCATACAGCTTTGGGGTGGTTTTTTAAGCACTTTCCGTCTTTATGATTCATGCTTACTAACTGTAGAAAATTTTACTCTGGTGATTAGCTGACTGAGCACAAAGCACGAGGCCCAGAAACAGAAGGGAACCTCCTCTGCATGTTCACGCGAACAAAGCACATCTGCTGGCCTGACCACCAGGGCAAGTGTCGTGGGCTCTGCGTCAAACTCCAAGTCCCCCGCCACACAGCTCTGCAAATCAACAGCAAGGAAGAGCCACCTTCGAAAGAAATGGTGTGTGTGCCCTCACTAGAAGCTCAGCAGCAGGAGGGGGCTGAAATCATGCCCAACTCTCACTATTTTGGTGACAATGTAAAACAACAAAAGTGTCAACAAGTAAACACGGGAGCTTTTTAAAAACCACATTTAGTGTGTTTCTCCATTAGGCCCCTTTCTCGAATGAGAGGAAGATTCCAGGTTTTGTATGAAACTAAAGGGGCATATTAGCAAGCAAGCATCCCATCTAGGTAGGTGGAAGAAAGTAGGCAAGATGGCTGGAGACGACCACACTGCAGAGAAGAAGGAAGGGTTTCTGGTACTGCTAACAAGTGACAATATCTGATCCTACTCAGTGGAGGCAGGCTTCCCAGGGTCCCAGCCTGCTTGCTAAAAATGAACAGTAAAATGGCTCCAAGGCAGATAATCCCAAACAGTGAACAACCTAAAGAAATTTAACAATCTACTGTATGGCACATGACAGTCTCATCTAGAACCCCCAAAGAAAGCAGCTGTATTAAGGTACCAACCACCTCAGTGCCCACAACTGTCTCAAGACAATCTGAACACAATACATTTTATTTTCCAGAAAAAACTGTTAGCATCCTATCAAAATAACAACTATAACTACCCATGACTCACTGGCAGCAGGACATTCAGATTTCAAATAAAGCCAAATAAATGATGCTAATCAAAATCTTTAGCCAGTGTAAAATGGAGTAGAGTCCACACTCCTGGATTCTCACTGGAAAACAAAAATCTGCTACCCTTGGCATCAAATGTCAACCTGAAATTGTTTTTATAGAACAATAAAATCTCAATCTACGTTAATTTTAAAGGCCTTAAATAAACTGATTGCACTTAAAGGTAGAAGTCACTCAACAATTTTCTAATATTTTGTTGACTAAACCAATATAAACTCCTTACTAATACAAGAGTACACATTTTAAAATAAAATTACAATTCACTCTCAAGAATAGCACCAGCAAAATTCACAGGAAAGAACAGCAGCGCTGTGCATCCAGCTGTGCATCCAGCTGTGCACTGTTGATCTCTGGACCTCCCTTTCTTTACAGGGAGCAGCAAACCTTCCCATTGTACATTCTGCGGTTTCTGGATTCTACTCCCAGCTATGCACCAAAACCCCACCACATGGCTTTACGGGTAAGTTCCAACAGATACGCATTTCAGAGTTCAAATCTGGCTTTAGAGCGGTGGTTAACAAACCCAAGGGAGAACAAGCCATTTAATAAATTAAAATGCCATTGGGATACACAGAGACACAATCTACTCATGTGTTCATTAGTCTAATGGTGAATAAATCATCTGGGCTTCAGTGGTAGCCTCAGAAGGCAGACAGAGGCTCCCACTGCCAAGCAAAGTAAGAGTACTTCACACTTTAATTCTGTGTATCTCTTTGTGTCCAAGGAAGTGGCCATTTCAGACCATTCAGACATTACCATTGGGATCGTCACAAAACAAGGAAAGAATGACCATGCTGGGAATACTACATGTATTAATGAACTGATAGTGCTCACAGAAAGACATTTAACTATGATTGCTTATCTTTAAACTTTACAACTCTCTGTGAAAACATTAGGACACTTTCAGAATTTCTAATTTTTTTTTTTTTTTTTTACTTCAAGACTTTAATTCTCAAAAAAAAAATTCATTTTAATGTGGAAGAATACTATTATTATTAAATTGCCACATTTTCTTCTGAGTCTTAGACCACAAGATGTTGGATCATTAAGTTGGACTGTATAACAACGGGGGCCTATGTGTAACCTCAAGTTTGACAGCAGAATACAAGAGAGAGAAATTCCTCACTTAAAAATTCTCTTTACAACAAAATCTGCAAGAACACCAAAGTGAAAGAGACCTCCTATGTGGCTGTGCACACACATTCTATCAAGCACTTTCCACGCTCTAATCTGTGCCACCTAGGACTAAGTTCACAGGCAGGGCCAATGTTCATGTGACAGTTTAGCAGTATTTGTGTCCACAGTGCTCAGACATCAGTAAAGACTTGTTGGACTGCTGGATTTACAGAAGGTAGGATCCCAGGATGATTAGCGAATCATCTTATTTTACTGATGAGTAACAGAAATAATAAAGTACTCTAACTAGACAGTAACTAGGCACAATTCTAAAAGATCTTGGTTTAATTTTCAAAAGGCATTTTAAATTACAGTGTCTCACTTTAAAAGCATACAAAAATACCAGTAAACCAGAAGGCACGTGCCTACACTTAGTGAAGGATTATTCAAACAAATTATTACAGGGTTATGGAAATAACAAGTCCCCCGTGATACCTTTGGCATGATTCTATTTACCAAAACTATAAATATTTCTCATTACTGTATCTACTGAAGAGCAAGCATCAACCAAAAATATTTTAAAACTATTGGGGGCCGGGCACAATGGCTCATACCTGTTAATTCCAGCACTTTAGGAGGCCGAGGCAGGCAGATCACACGAGATCAGGAGTTCGAGACCAGCCTGGCCAACATGGTAAAACCTCATCTCTACTAAAAATACAAAAATTAGCTGGGCGTGGTGGTGGGCACCTGTAATCCCGGCTACTCGGGAGGCTGAGGCAGGAGAATTGTTTGAACCCAGGAGGGAGAGGTTGCAATGAGTGGAGATTGCGCCACCGCACTCCAGCCTGGGCGACAGAGTGAGACTCTATCTCAAAAAAAAAAAAAAAAAAAGAAAAGAAAAAGAAAAAGAAAAAGAACTACTGAGACATCTAAACACAATCATGACTAAAATTAAATCTAAGGTTCCACATAAACAATCCTTTTCAAAATTACTCATACATTTGACCAAAATTCAGCAACTTCTAAACTTTTTTCTGAAACAAAAGCTTACTCTCAATGAAGACATAAATGCAGAAAAGCAGAGCTACTCCCACTGCAAATGGGCTCTTTAAGGCCCCAATTTTGCATACTTCTGTCCCCATTTCAACAGTCCCATTCACTTGGCCCCCATGCTGTTCTCAAAAACCCTAAGATTCTACTACAGCTACTGAGATCACACCCTTCCCTCATAAATTTCATTACATGCTTATTTTAAAAAACAAATCTCTTTTGATGATAAGTCATTAAGAGATGAGAATCTTACACTAGTACATTTTTTCTTTCTTTCTGGTTCAACTTAAAAACTACCAAAATCATCTTTCCAAAATAAAAAATCAGCATAATCTTGCTTTCTGATTATAGATAACAAATTATACGTGACATTTCCTAAACTAACCCCCAATCTCTTTATTCAGGTTTAGACAGTTCTCAGTTACAAAAAGGATGAATGAACAGGACATCAATCACTTTGGAATATTAGCACCTTAAAGACGTCTTTAGCAGGTCAATAATCTTTTCACCTTAGAAGGACTTTATCAGATCTTGTCTAAAGCCTGGGTAAAAGCCCTGCATTAAGTACTTCTAACAATTGACAGTGTGTCCCCACCACACAAAGCTGTTTTCTTCCTTAGGGTACAATCCTCAAGGTCACGATTCTTTGCAGCCTTCCAGAATGACAAAGGAGCATTACCTCTGGCCAAACAAGCTGTCAACACAAACTTTGTCATAGCTCAGATAAAGAAACTGGCAGACAGTGATAATAAGGTCTAATTTCCCCTCCCTCCCAAGGGAGGTAAACAGATTTCAAATCAGTCTAGAAGCCTATGTATGGGAAGCCAGGTTATCTTTGGCCATACAAAGGAGAAAAGACTCACTGTAAATTCATCTAAAGGTTCATTGATTTCGATGTCTAACACTTCATCAGTGTAAAGTTGCTCCTCCTCCGGCTCTTCCACATATTCTATTTGGTCTTCTGTCAACTCAGCTTCGTGGCCTTCATACTGTCCTTCTTCTGTGTACTCTTGAGTATATAATTCTGACCCATCAGATTTGTGATAAACCAGTTCATCCTCTCCTTGTTCTTGTTCATACTCAGATTCCTGTTCTCCAGATTGGTCGTTAGTGTTGTCAGACAGTTCAAATGATGTAACCATGCCAGATGTAGCATTCAGACTAATTGTAACGCCCTGAGAACTAGAGAGGACGAAAATACAAAAAAAAAAAAACAAAACAAAAAAACAAAAAAAAGGCACCCAATGAACAGAGGAGCTCAAAACTGAATCATTATATAAATAGCTTTATATTTATATATTTTATAAAGAAAGATTTAAACATGACTGGTAAAAAGTTATTCCAGTTACTGACAAATGCACATTACCTCCAACAGTGCTCAAAATGCTACACAGAGTCAGTGCCCTAAACCCTTAAAGCATACAGCAGATTTAACTGGGCTATATGGAGGTGGCCACAGACTGGTAATGCATATAGTGTCTCTACCTATCGTCAGCTGCAGATTATTTCACCAAAAGTATTAAATCAACCACAGATGAAACACATGTAACTGGCAAAAGTCCAAGACTGAAATCAAATAGACTATATTTCATTCCAATTTACAGAATGAAATAGAAACTGCTAAGATTTCAAAGCAAAATCAGGAGTATTATTCTATAAGCAGAAATTCGCAGCTGAAATTTTAAGAATAATTTTTCTTTCTTGCATCTATGATAGAAATTATAAACTCCTGTTTAAAAAATCAAAATATTAAAAATTTGTATGAAAATACATTTCAGTGTTCAAATAAATAAAAATGTATATCAGTCACAAATATCTCTAAAAATTGTTCATAATTTCCAAGTAAAATAACAAAGAAGTTTTGAAACTGCAAAAAATCATGTTCCACCTATTAAATCACAACAGTTAAATATGAAACAGTAAGGTGCAAGATAACATTTCCCATACAAGATCGTGCAGATAAATCTATGTTCACATATAGTACTCAATCCTAACAAAAAATTAATATACCTCTTAGACTTCAAGACACTGTGGCTAAAAAACTTCAATGACATATTTCTAAAAGGCAACCTAACTAACTCAAAAGGTCAAAATATATGATGTCAAAGAATGGAACTGGGAAATTTATCTGACTGGTAGAATAATTTAAAACTGTATTTTTACCTGTAAAAATTACTTTATGTTAGAAAATCTGTTACAAATCCATGGCTCAATCATAAATGGCACATATTTGTTAATTACATTTATAACCAAGCAGCTTGTCTACATTTTCCCGAAGTCTCCTCTTAATATTAAAAAATTATTCCATCTACCAGAGTGTCTCTCTCCTCTTATAATATAGTTTACCATATGTCAACAACAGAGAGATATTCCTATCAGTCATCTAGAGTCTAAAGGGCGATTTCCCAAAGTGTCCAAAATGGTAATTCAG